TGTTTCACACGATGCTGGTGGTGTTGGGGGGGAAAGGGGCCACGAGGCAGCTGCTGTTTGTAAAACTCTGGGATTGAGGTTTTTTTTCCCCTTCCTTCACTTTGATCTCACTTGCGTGGAAGGAAAGTGGCCACCCCCTGCCCCTGCCAGCGCCCTGCTGGGGACCCCGAGCAGGAAAAGCCACCCCAGTCTCACAAGGCACTTTGCCCCGGCGCTGCGGGGGACCCCACCACATGGCAGTCCCACGCTGTGGTGAAAGGAGCCTTTCGTCAGCCCCGGGGAGTGGAGGGGGGGGGTTTGTGGGATCAGGGCTGGGGTACCCTCTCGTAGGATGCTCCGCTCCGCCGTTAATTGCTGGGATGTGCTGGGCAGCTTCTCCAGGCGGGCAGCCGCTGGGCTGGGACCACCGTGTGCAGCCATGGAGTTTCCCTTCTCCTGAGTGAGTGCTTCCCAGCGCTGGAAGCTCATGGGCCACTTGCTAGTGCAGCGGGGGAATGCTCTGGGATGGTGAGGGGGCAGCTGCTTCATGCCTGACTCTGCACCGGCCCTGGCAGGCAGCGTTTCCATACCAGGGCTCCGGGGCCAGGTGGGCAAATGAGGGGGAGTGGCAATTAAAACCGCAGCTTGTCCGTGGATGAAGGGTCAGAAAATGAAACTGGGAAGGACCGTGGTCCCTCCCTGTCCTGTGCAGGCGGAGGATGAGGATCCTATCGAGCTTGGCTTCTCCCTCTGTCCCGGGATGGCAAAGTGTCCAGGATTTTTGTCGGCACATCCCCAGGAAGAAACGATGCCCCCCTGCAATGGGGCAGGGGTCCCTTCTCCTCTGGGACAGCAAGGCTGGTGAGGACTGAGATGTGCTTTGCTCCTCATCTGAGCCTCTTGACATCAGGGAGTGATTCCCAGCATCTCCGTGGGGCTTTGGATTATTTCATTTACACATCTGGGGTGCTGGGATTGAACATCTGCAATGCAATGAGCTTGGACACTGATGTTCAGCGAGAGCCTGGTGCCAGAGGAACTGAGGCTCATGCAACCGCCTGCCTGCTAAAAGTTTCTGAACCTCCAGCTAATTTTAGCTGGGCTTGATGGAGAAGTAGAACCCTTGGAGGCATCCGGCTGCCACGCGGTTCGGGGATGCTAGCAGGTAGGTGAATGGGGAAGCGGCTCCTCTCCACCCAATGGAAGACAGATGAGCTGGGCTTTCCAAAATCACATCCCAAGTGCAAACCTGGTGTTGTGACCCTGTCCCCGTGCCAGGGCTGTGCTGGGAGAGGAGGAAGGTAGGACCCTCCGGCCAGTGCAGCAGCTCCAGCCTGCTCTCCCCACAGCCTGGATGATGGATACCCAGGGAGCAGCCCCACTGCTGAAAAGCCGTTTGGCTCCTCGGGGTGCAGAAGATGAGGGCCATTAACATGGATTTCTGGCATCTTCAGTAAGTTTTTTCTTTCCTTTTTCTTTCCTGATATAAGTACTTGTGCTGAGGTATGGATGCGCACCTCACCCGGCTGATAACTCTGAAGCATAATGACAGCCCAGTGATGATGGGGCTTGTGGTACTTTCATGTGAGGCTGTTATAAAAGCTCTCAGAAGAGGAATTAAAGCTGTGTCCCTCGCTCTGGCACTGAGCAGTCACTCTCCAGCAGCCCCTGCTTTGTGGCAGGTGAGCCCCTCCAAAGGCTGCAGCCCTCCCCTCCCACTCAGATGTCCCTGGAGTGGAAAGAGGTGACATGATGCAGAAATCGCTTCTGTCAGTCACAGGAGTGTAAATCAAACATCTGCTTCCCACAGTGGGGGACCAAAGTTAGAAGAAGCAACCAGGAGAGGCTTTTGCTCACCGACCCAGAATTCGGCATGAAATCACGGTTTATTTAAGCCGTTTGTTGGCAAAGCATCACGGGCTCCTCGGCTTGAGCACTTTTCTTTTCCACATTTGGCTCTCTCTGAAAGGAGAGCTCCCAGGTTTCAAGCTGGGCAGTGGTGCCGGCACCAGGGCTGCACCAGTGCTGCACCGGGCTTTGTGCCACACCGTTGCAATGCCATGGGGAGGAGGCAAAGCTACCGAGGTGCCAAAGAAGAAGAGGGGCACTTTTGGCACCTGCTTGAGACCTCCTTGGTCTTTACCAGATGGTGCAAGACGACAGCTCTCGGCTTCGACCTCGACGGGTCCAGCACTCCCCTGGCTCTCTTGGCCATTGCTGCGCAGAGACGGAAATCTGGCTTTATTTTGGCACTTGCCAGCGGTGCTGACTTCAAAGGGAACGGTCTGACCGTGATGGGATGGAGCCAAACCTGAGGTCTGGGCACGGAAGAAGCCCACAGCACCCAGGGAAGATTAAGAAGCTTAAGATTCACAAGCTTTAAAGATGCTGAAAGAAGACGTTTCCTCTAGGCACTGGCTGGCATCTAGTAGGGCTTTAAAGCCTTGGTACATCTTGGAGAGGGAACAACAACCTCCCTGGTGCTGCTACGAGGCACGCTGCGCCTCCCCAGCTCTCCTCCCCAGCTGCCTTCTCCTCTGCTCAATGGCTTTTAGAAGCCTTCCTTTGCTCGGGAGACAGAAGGGAAGTTGGTAATGCCAAAGGCTTTGCACACGTGGTAACCTCTGCCCCTCCCTGCAGCTGGAAAGCGTGGGCCGCATCGACTCTCCATCCAGACGGTTCCCATCAAGTCCCGGAGGTGGAGGCTGGATGGTTTTCCTAAGGCGTAAGCTTTGCAAACCGTGCGGAGATGAGCGGGACGGCGCCGTTTTATTTGCGGGAGGGTGTGTGGCAAACAAAAAGACTCCCGCAGATCCTTTTGCAAGGTGTTGGAAGTGCTGCTTCCTCCAATAGAGCCCTGGCTTCCCTTCCCCGGGCTCCCAGGGGACGCCCCATGTGAATGGGGCACTTCCCGTTGCAGCAGGTATTGAGAAACACATCTGAGGTGCCTTTTGTGCTCCGAGCACTGCCAAGGAGGTGAGGGACTCGCTCTGCTGCCTGCCGAAACCCAGCCAGCCCGGCTGAGCATCCTGGTCCCAGCAGTGTCCGAGGACGGGGAGCAGCTGAGGCTTGAAAATGGGCAGAAGCGGGGTGGCGTTGAGCCCAGGCCACACAAACCAAAGCGGTCCTGGGTGGGGATGCGGTGCTGCGCGTGCCACAGGGAGCCGGAGGGATTAGCCGGAGCGGTTCGGCAAAAGTCACTTCATCCCTGATTCTACGGGAGTCCTCGGCGCTGCATGCTTCAGATGGCGGCGGGACTCCAATGGGGCAGATCCCCTCCCCAAAGCCCCCTCTCCCTGGCAGAGTGCCCTCAGAGGCAGTTCTGCTGGCACTCAGGGGCTTCAGAGGGGTCTGATGGGGCTTAGGGATCATCATCGTCCTAAAAGCCATAAATAACCAGGAGGGGTGGAAAGCACGGAGGACATTTTTGCTTTCGCTCTCTCAAGCGGGGAGCCCCGTGCTGGGGCGGGGATGCGGTGCCCATGCCCAGAGGAGGATGCTGTCCGGGCAGCCCGGCGATGGGGAGCTGGCGGGAGGGCACATCACACCCCGCCTGCGATTGACGCCCGCTCGATATAGCAAGTGAAAAACCTCAAAGCGAAACGGTGCCGGAGCTAATGGCACAACAGGATGTTACCAAAATAAAATAACATCTTGTCCTCCTGTCATCTCCCCTGTTGCAAAACCAGCCCCAGGAACCTCCTTTTCTCAATAATTTAAAGAAAATGAACATCGAATCTGCTTTTTCTACAGCTTTCCATGGTGATGTTTGCACTTCTGCAAACGCAAAGCGGCCACGGGGCCAGAGCACCAAAGACTCACTTGTCTTTGCTCTTTTCTCTCCCCTTATGTTCAGCTCCCCTTACCCACTGCCGGCATGCTGGGACAGGACCAGTAACACTGCGGTACGCCCCTCTGCTTCCCCCTGTCCCATCCCCTCCCGACAGGCTCCTGTGCCTCTGCCAGGCTTCCCGCCCACGTTTTGCAGCCGGCAGTGGTCAGGGATTTCTTTCTGAAAATTGTTTTCATTTTCAAGCAGCATCTCGCAGCCGTCAGCGGCCAGTTCCCCCTTCTCCTCCCCAGGGGCTGAAAAAAACAAGCAGGGTGGGACCTACTCCCCGCCTCATCTCAGGGGGCACGGGCCCCTCCTAGCTATTTTCTTTTTTATTTTTTCCCTCCTTTTTTTTTTTAATTTTATTTTGCTCAGCGCTTGCTGCCAGGGTCTGGTGCCCGTATGGAGGCACCTGGCACAGACCCCCACCTCCCTGTCCTGCTCAGCTGTTAACTTCTCCCTCCCTGCTGCTATTAAAAGCTGTCGCTCAGCTGTATTTAAAGCATATCTCTCCTCCAGGGCTTATTTCTAGGGTGAAGTTGTGCTTCCAGCCCTGCTGGGATGTTGCTACAGAGCAAGCAAAGGGCTCACGCCGGGCTTCCCATCTCCCTTCTCTTGGGATATGAGGAGCTCAGGAGTTTTTCTTCCCCCTAAGAGGCATGGGTGAGGTCTTTCCCTCTTTCTGTGGGCTGGCATTAATGCTCTCTGCTTGCTTTCTGCAACCTTGCAACCTCCAGCCATCCCTCTGCCAGCCTTGGTGGTGGGGCTAGCGATGCCTGTTTAGGGAGGGGTCCCTGTTTTGTGATGAAGTCAGGGTAAGCCCGTGCCCTCTCCCCGGCAGGAGGGCCAGCAGCTTTCCTGGTCACCACTCCGTACTCGCTCTCTGTCTGCCCCGAGGGCCAGAACGTCCCCCTGACCTGCCGGATCAGCGGTCCCCTCTCCGATCACCACAACCTTGTCTACAAAACCTGGTACTTCAGCAGCGACGGTGACCAGAGCTGCTCCAAGAAGAAGCACATCCGCAACGTCACCGAGAAGGAGCTGCACCATGACCTGGGCAGGCACCACGAGCTGCCGGGCAACAGCACCCAAAAAACTCCCCCGGGGAGGCAAGGCACCCATCATGGGGTGGAGTTTGCCTCCGACCACCATGGTGCCTTTCACATCACGGTGATGAACCTGACGCTGCAAGACAGTGGGAATTACTGCTGCTACGCTGTGGAGGCCAGGTGGGAGCACAGCAAGCCCCACACCTTGCAGGTCGCTCACGGCTTCGTGGAGCTGCAGATCCAGCAAGGTGAGGGGGGGCCCCTGCCAGCCCCACATCCGTGCCAGGGTGCGTAGGGACAAGGTGGCAGATGAGGGCTGGTGGTGGGGAATGTTTGGGATGTGGCATCAGTGTTCAGGGAGGCAGGGTGTGTGGATTGCTGGAAGCCCACGCCGTGCTGCAAGAGTCACGGAGCAGATGTTGGAGGTTTGAATCAGGGCCAGAGAGCACTGGAACATTAAAAAAAAATAAAAAAACAAGAGGCTGGAACGCAATTAAATCCATGCTACATAGTTTCACTGATCTTCCTCAACCTCTTTTTGGAAGAGAGGAAAACAAATCTCAACAGAAAAGGAGCCAGTTGGCAGGCAAGCCTGAGTGCTCGGGACGCAGGGCTTGTAGGTAACCCAGCAGGGACAGCTGCCCAGGAAGGTGCAAGATGGAGGGGATGACATCTCCTGCCTTGGATTTGCAGCATGAGGATAGACAATTTTTCTTTCAGACCAAAAAAAGCCTGCATGGGCAGAGACAGGTCCTGTCGCCACAAGGGAGAAGGGGCTTTGGCAGCAGGTGTAAGCTTCCCGGGATGAAACACTTGATTTTGGGATGTCCTGGTCTTATTTTCTCAATGCTGGTGGGCAAAGGCAAGTGTAGGCAGCAGGTGTGGGAGCAAATGGTACCTGAGCAAACCCCCGGAGATCTGACACACTTTTCTGTTCTCCTCCGCAGGCAGAGGAGGGCTTCAGAACTGTACCTTTCACACCGCCAGCACCAAAGGTAAAGGGAAAAAAAAAACCCTCTCTCCATCCATCCTGCCCCATGTATTTCCCGAGGGATGATCACTTGCTGTAAACACACCGGTGTTCAGATGCAACCTCACAGTCAAGTGCTGGGAGGGTGATTTGCCAGGCTATCCCCACGGGGTGCATCTGACTGGCACGTTCTCAGGCTGAGGAGAACCTCCTTTGGCCAATATCTCCACGTCACCTGGACGTGACTGTCCTGAAGGCCACGGAGATCATTCACCCCGTGGTTATAAAGCACCTGAGCACCCACCCCCAAACCATGATCAGGGATTTAGCGGCTGGGGGCCAGAGCCGAAGGGAAGAAGGTAAAGAGTCACAGGGATCTCTTGCAACCCCCTGCCGCCATCCGAGCTCATACCACCTCGCCCCAAGTGCCACTTCGCCCCAAGCGTCACCTTGCCCCAAGCAGAGATGCTCTAGCAGGAGAAACCCAAATCTTGCTTGAGTGCTCAGACAACGTGAGGCCCTCTCGGCACTGTGTCTAGATGCTGGAAGGGCCCACACTTGGCTATGCAGGTGGTTTCTCCGTGGGTTGCTCTGTCTATCCCTGTTTGCTGGCTGCTAAAATGGGTTTGCAGCAACGTGTGGGGCCCCCCCCCGCCATGGGAAACTGCCCCGTCCTCCCCTTTCTGTCTCAAAACCTCGGTCCCAAATGCTGGGACACTCTGTCCTGTCAGGCAAGAAAGAAAACGGGAAAAAAAAATCCTCCCCTAAACACACCCAGAGCAAGAGGCTGCTTCCCCCAGTGGATGGTCTGGAGAGGAGGGATTGAGCCCAACCTACCCTTGATTTAGGCAGCCCTTGACTCCGCCACAAGCCGTCCCACATGGACCTTGATGGCCACAGATGTGCCCGAAGCCTTTCTGAGAAGCCTGTGGTAGAGCTCTCCCGGGGCACGTTCATTAGCAGAGGCCTTGGGTAACGAGCCCTTCAATGCCCAAGTACATCGAGACAGCCTGATTTTGATGAGCCAGTTGGGGTTGGCACTCTTTGAAACCACTGCGAGCCTTTTTGCTGACTTCAAAGGGCTTTGTCACGGCCCCTGCTTCTCTCCTTATATCTAGAAGACCAAAGAAAGACCTTGAGGTGTCCTCCAGCAATGAAGGACTTTGGTCAAGGTCCTAAACTGATGCCTCAGAGCTTATCCCTGCAACCGGCAACGCATCCTAGTGCAAATCCCGCTAGCAGTGGACTGCCCGTGCGTGCGGGAGCCGCGTTGCACCGGGAGAGGGGCAACGCCAGTGTTGCCCCGTGCTTCTGCCGCAGCTTGAGGAAACCGAGGAAACGCCAGGTCAACCCTCCCCGCCACCCGCTCCAGCTCTACCCTCTTCTGTTGCAGATATCACGGCCGCCGCGCTGGCAACTGGCGCCTGCATCGTGGGCATCCTCTGCCTGCCCCTCATCCTGCTCCTCATCTACAAGCAGAGGCAAGCCGTCAGCAGCAGACGTACGTACCCTCCCATCACCAGCTGACCCATGGGGACCCCCATCTCACCTCCCACACTGCATCGGCGTGGCCTTTATGGGATGGGATACATCCCGCTGGGGTCAGCGGGTTTGGCTGCTCTGAGTCCCATGGGCACTGTGTAAGGTGGCTCAAAAACAGGTCCGTGCCAGATCCCTCCTGCAAAGCTGTCCTGGGAAGAGCCGGGCATGCCTGGGGCTGCCAGTGAGGAGGTGGGGTAGGAAGGGGACCCACAAAGCACCTCGGGAGCGTGCTGGGGGTACTGACACCACGAAGATGCCACCAGGCCCCTCCCTGCTGAGCTCTTTCCTCCCCATCCATTGCGAGAGCCGGCTCGTTTACTCATCCCTCCCTCCACTGCACAGCTGAAATAGAAATTTTGCCTTCTAAGTGATTGAAAAAGCATTATTTGTGCTTTTTCTCTCCCTACTCTTCAAAAAAGCCCCTTATGCGGCTACGGCAATAGGACCGGAGCAAGCCACCGCCCCAGCCCTA